TGCAAGCCATTAAGGATGGCTTTATACACCATGGTCAGAATCATCACCAGCAAGAGAAATATTTGAGAAACTCAAATACAGCATTCCCTTCTAGAAACGCATGAAGGTGGCACAGAGCTGAGAAGTTGAAAGCAATGCCAGTTTTTACAGGATTCCCTGGATGGGGACTGCACATGAAGGCTATGCCCAGAGTATAAATCACTGTAAGGACATGAGCTGAAACAGTGAGTCTATAGGAGCTTACAACTCCTTCAGAAGTCAGTGCTGCAAAGATACTTGGAGGATAGACAGGAGTGACATGGCAGGGTATTAGTCAGATCCAGACAGCTCGTGTGTCTGAATACCATGACATTACCTCAGATATTTCAGCAAACTGAGCATTGGCTTGGCAGCATTTCTCTGCTGTCTCCATAGCAACTTCATAGTTATCCACAAAGGCCCGGTACACTCCCAGCTGGCTGGCCTGCAGGAAGCAAAACAAAATCAAATAAATGCTGAGAAAAAAGACAGTTTGGGATGGCCTCAGTATCTAATGACCAGGTTATGTTCCTTCATGCCAAAGGATTCCAGGGAATGCTGAGCAGGCCCAGAAAAACATCTCTGACTTGTCAGCTTTGCTTAGCCAGCACAGGAGCTCCCATGCACCCCCCTCCATCTATGCTGAACAAAGTTCACTTGTGAAGGATGTGGAAGCCTGCAAGAATGACACAACCTTATTACTGCCATCTATGTTTCCCTTCTGAACTGCCAGATTAGTATCTATTAATATTTTAGCTCACTGATGTAACGGAGCTGCTGGCTATTTGCCACAAAATGTGAATCACACAGGAATGATTCAGCCCAACAGCTCAAATATGACCCCAGTAAAGCTACTTGTTGGCTTTTGCATGATGGACACACTAAATCAAACCCAGATATTAACCCATATCTGCATTTGTGAACATCATTATAAGGGCCGCAGAGCACTGAAAATACAGGAAAGAGATCTAGCACACAATTGAGTTTTGGAAGGCAGTAACTACAGGACTAGGTGACAGAAAATGGCAGTTTTTCCAGAGAAGGAATATGCAATTGGTCCCAAAGAAGATGGAGCAGGCCTCAGAATGCAGTAATAAGCAGTGATTACTATCACCAAGTCTTAGCACTGATCCCACTTGCTGACTTAGGAATTGCAGCCATATCCATGGCAGAGAATGTAAGATCCAACTCAGGAAATCCCTGGGCAGCTTTCAGGTTTGACAGGATTGCAGAGCTGGTTTTGTGTTGCAGAGCTGCACAGGCTGTGCTGTGAACACCTCAGCAGCTTAAGCATGCTTGCAAGTACATAGTCAGCAGAGAGCCAACAGGTGGAGTGCTGTAAAGGGCTCCGTTAAGAAGTTTGTCAACCAGAAGAGCCTGCACTTACC